ACAGGCGCCCACCACAATGCCCGGCTGTATTTTTGTTGCAGTTTGGCCAGGGCCGGGTTCAAATCCGCCACCCTCAGTATACGGGGCTGGTACCCTACCCACTGAGTCACAGGCCCTCTACTAGTCTTTTTTTTTTTTTTTTTTTGAGACAGAGCCACAAGCTGTTGCCCTGGGTAGAATGCTGCGACATCACAGCTCACAGCAACCTCCAACCTCTGGGCTCAAGCGATTCTCCTGCCTCTGCCTCCCAAGTAGCTGGGACTACAGGTGCCCATCACAACACTCAGCTATTTTGTTGTTGTTGTTGCAGCCATCATTGTAGTCTGGCAGGCCCAGGCTGGATTTGAACCCGCCAGCTCAGGTGCATGTCGCTGGTGCCCCAGCCACTGAGCCACAGGCGCCAAGCCCTCACACTCATTTTATTGCAGATATTTTCTTCAATTGGAATGAAAGAAAGGCAAAGTAAGAATGGGAAAGGCTAGCTTTTTGCTGGCTATTCTCTTGGCTTCACTTGATGTTTATCTATAAAAAGATCAAGATTATATTAACAGAAGGCAATAAACTCTGATTCACAAATGAAAAATAAGCTTACTAAATGTGATATAATGTTCTCTCTTACTTAAATGACATAGATAAACCAAATAAATTAGAATATTATTGAGGTCTTTATAAGGAGATAATAGCATCCATTGATGTGATTAGAGGCACCTAGGTTTGCTGGGCAGTTTTCTTTTGGAGTAGTATAGAAACTGAAATTCTCTTCACTTACTTGAAAGAAAATGAAAATAAATATCTCATATTTAGGTGACATTAAGTATAGTTCTTATATATCTGACAAAGATTGACTTGAGTACAGAAAACCAGATGGAAATATATTGTCCTCATTATTCATCTTACTATCAATCTTTTATTAGAAAAAACCCAAATCCACGCCAAATGATTCTTAAGCAAAGTGAAATTAGTTAACTGCCTGATTGTCTTGATAGCATTTGAATAATAAAAACGATGTAGTAACAAACTTGGTAGAAGCAAACTGCAAGCCTATCTAGGCCGTGGAAGAAAATATGATCATGTAACTAAAAACAACATAAAAAGCAGCAAAATTTTGTCCTTGTGATCTGAAAAAAAAAAGCTTACTCTTTTTTTGCAATTTATTTACTTCTCTGTGCTACTATTAACTGAAGAGGCAAAAGTATAACCCTGGCCAGGCACAGTGGCTCACGCCTGTAAGCCTAGCATGCCGGGAGGCCAAGGCAGGCGAATCACCTGGCTTATAGGTTCCAGACGAGCCAGAGTGAGACCCCATCTCTAAAAACAGCCAGGCATTGTGGCGGGCACCTGTAGTCCCAACTACTCTGGAGGCTGAGGCAAAAGATCTTTGAGCCTAAGAGTTTGCTGTGAGCTGTGCCGCCACAGCACTCTACCAAGGGTGACAAAAAGTATAATCCCCTGCCAAATGTACAAATATATTTCCACTATTATGATGAGACTTTGTTTGCCATAATACTGGAAAGACGGGTATGGGGTACAGTCAGTATCCTAGCTACATATGTCAATTTGAAATTTATTTCTTCTCAGTGCTGACAGTAGAGTAAAGTTATGGGATGTGAGGAGAGCATCAGGATGTTTGATTACTCTCGATCAGCATAATGGGAAAAAGTCACAAGCTGCGGAATCAGGTAATATAGAATGCATTAATACAGAAATATGACAATGTTGGTTTCTCTTCACATGGAAAAACTTTAATTGAAACTAAATAATAAATGCATATTGATAAATTATAAATGCTATCTTTTTTAAAAAAGGTATTTATCATACATCACTTTATAAATTTACATAAACTAAGTTATAGTTGTCTTTCTTCCAGGTACAAGTAAGTATGGCAGTTTCATTTGTCATTAAATTTTCAAAGATAGAAACTTTTCTGGATGAACTTGCTATACTGATTTTGATTTTCCTCCAATGAAGTCAGCTTATACAAATTCACTGTCTTTTAGGAAGCCCCAGTACATTACAGAAATAGTAACATTTTGTGGCCATAAAATTTTGTTAAGTGAGTCAGCTGCAATCTATGTGACAAAGTACCTCAATTGCATTTTTATAATAGAATTTAATTTCTGTGTAGAAATTTTGATTCAGAATTAATTCTGGACCAGAAATATATTAAGATGAACTATATAAAACTTATGATTGTTTTAGTAATCTTTCTTAGTTAAATTAATCAGAGTATTAAGAATAATGCTTTCTGGCTGGGCATGGCAGCTCCCTCCTGTATTCTAACACTCTGGGAGGCCAAGGCAGGAAGATCACTTAAGGTCACGAGGTCAAGACCAGCCTGAGCAAGAGCTTGTCTCTATCAAAAAGAAAAGGTTAGCCTGGTGTGGTGGTATGTACCTGTAGTCCCAGCTACTCAGGAGGCTGAGGCAGGAGGATGACTTCCCCACAGGAGTCTGAGGTTGAAGTGAGCTAAAATGATACCCCTGCACCTAGCCCAGGTGACAAAGCCAATCCCTTTCTCAGAAAAAAAAAAAAAATTATGCTTTCTCAAACTTGTTAATTTTGTTTTTGTTTTTGTTTGAGATACAGTCTCACTGTGTAGCCCAAACAGGTCTTAAACTCCTGGCTTCAAGTGCTTTTTGTCCTTGGCTTCCCAAAGTGCTGGGATTATAGGCATGATCCCTCACACGTCTAGCAAATTTGTTCATTTTGAAAGTGATGGCTCAGTGCCTTTGGCTCAAGTGGCTAGGGCGCCGGCCACATACACCTAAGGTGGTGGGTTCGAATCCAGCCCGGGGCTGACAAACAACAATGACAGCTGCAATCAAAAAATAGCCAGGCATTGTGGTGGGCACCTGTGGTTCCAGCTACTTGGGAGGCTGAGGCAGGAGACTCACTTGAGCCCAGGAGTTGGAGGTTGCTATGAATTGTGATGCCATGGCACTCTACCCAGGGGGACAGCTTGAGGCTCTGTCTCAAAAAAAAGAAAAAAAGAAAAAGAAAGTGAAATAAGTTTTGAGACTAGAACAGTTATCCTTTCCCTGTTAAGGTTTTTTTAAATGGAAAACACTAGTATTGTTGATTTTTAATAGTGCATGGAATTATTTTTAGATTAGAAATGGATTATTATGAGAAGTTTATGTTATTATGTAAGGGGGATAAAAATGTTTAATTTAAAATTTTAATGTTAAACTACACACTTAATTGAATTTGATGGCACAGCTTCTTTGCTAGGAAAAAAACAATATTTGGCCAGAATTTTTGCCTTTGGATTTTCTTGTTTTTCTCTGTTTTTGTGGTTCATATTTATGTAGCATATCATATTCAAATAATCCAATGGTCTGGTTAATTTTAAATATAATTGCCTATAGTGCTGCCTACTCAGAAGGCTGCAGTGGGATGATCACTTGGACCCAGAAGTTTGAGGTTGCAGTTAGCTATGATCAGACCACTGCACTCCAGCCTAGATGACAGAACAAGAGCCTATCGCTCATAAATAAATAAAATCAACTTAAATTTTTTAAGTAACTCAAATAGTTGTCTTTTAATATGTTTAAATAATTATATCATCAGACATTAAATATATATTGAATACAGGAACAGGTAGACTAAACTGTATTTTTTATTGCAGCAAACACTGCTCATAACGGGAAAGTTAATGGCTTATGCTTTACAAGTGATGGGCTTCACCTCCTGACTGTTGGTACAGATAATCGAATGCGGCTCTGGAATAGTTCCAATGGAGAAAATACGCTAGTAAGAGACTTAATGTGTACATGCTGGGATATAAATTAAAGAAATAGATCTGTGACATATGCTTAGTTTTCTATGGAGATTTAAATCCATTTCTTGACTTCCTTTTGAAAATGATTTCTGCTATGTGAACTGGTAATTTTCAAATGAAGATAACCCCTCCCATAGTACTGCTTGCCATGTTCCTCTCACATGGTAGAGAATCACTGGTCCACAGAGCCACTGTTTGTAGTAGGAATATGCCATATCTCTCAAGTCTGCTGGAGAAGAATAAAAGATTGAGAACTGCAGATACAAATTAAAGTTATACAGTAAATAGTTGAATTTTATACAGGTCAAGTACTCCTAATTTAAAAATCCAAAATGTAAAATGCTCCAAAGCCAAAAGTTTTTGAGCACCAACATGATATTCAAAGGAAATGCCCATTGGAGATTTTCAGATTAGAAATGTTCAACCAGTAATGCAAATATTCCAAAATCTGGAAGCCAAAACACTTAATCATTTTGTATAAAGAATACTCAGCCTGGCTCAGTGCCTGTGGCTCAAGTGGCTAAGGCGCCACTCACATACACCTAAGGTGGCAGGTTTGAATCCAGCCCAGGCCTGCCAAAAACAACAATGACAGCTGCAACCAAAAAATAGTCAGGCATTGTGGTGGGCGCCTGTGGTCCCAGCTACTTGGGAGGCTGAGGCAGGAGACTCGCTTGAGCCCAGGAGTTGGAGGTTGCTGTGAGC